TATGAGTGATGCTGCAGTGGTGTGTAGAGAGCTGGGCTGTGGAGAGGCTGTAGATGCACTGAGTGATGCTCACTTTGGACCAGGATCAGGACCAATCTGGATGAATTATGTGGACTGTAGTGGATCAGAGTCTACACTGAAGAACTGTAGATCATCAGGGTGGAGTGAACATACATGTGATCACTCTAAAGATGCTGGAGTCATTTGTTCAGGTACATGTTGCTAAAAAGTGTTTCACTCAAATATCATTATAAAGTCTTTTCTTTACTTTTTCTTTTATGTTTTATTTAGGCACTTGGAAAAAATATATTCTCTCACACACACACACAAATATATTTAAAAAATAAATACTACTATTTATTTGTTTATTTATTCATTTATTCTTATTCTTATTATTAATGATAATAATAACCAATCATTGAAAACTAGACATAGTAGTGTCATCACACTTGGTATATGTTGTACAGACAGGGAAAAAGATGTTAACTGACTGTGTGGAAATCTGGAATATACTGCAATAAATACACAGTTCAATGTGAAAAGTCTGATTTTAAGGTCTAAATCTAAATCTGATTTTAAAGTCTACTGTTATTCAGTACGTAAGTTATGTTGTAAGTTATTAGCTATGTAGGGCTATGAACAATAACTATAAATATCAATTTTGAACAATTTTAAGAAACAATTTTAAGACAAACTTACATAAACTAGCTAAAGGATTAAAACTAAAGAATTACAATTGACCAATAGTGTAATGTAACAGTGTAGTGTAACAGCAGCAGGGCTCCTAACATACCTGAGCCAGGTAATAAAGAGATAACAGATCACTCAGTGTGCATATGTCCATTCCATAACGTCTATATAGTAATGTTACTGGTACCACACTGCTGCTGTTACTGTCATCTCCTTTCAAAGTTAAATCCATGATAAGTGGGAGAACTGTCAGATACACAGCCTCTCGCTCATCGCTTTTACCTCAGTTTTTTCTCAGTGTTAGTTTTCTTTGTCAGAGTAGTGAGGAAAATGCATCTGCCAAAAAATCCATTTTAAGACAACAAATTTGAAATTATTTTTTGATCTGCGTACACAAACAGGTTGAATTTCAAGAGGACTTACTATGCTCATTTTCAGTGTTCATAATTTTATTTGCGTGGTCTAATACAGTAGCTTTACAAGCTTCACTGATCCAAAAACACATTATTTTTCTCATACTGTACATTTCTATTCCCCATCTCTCTCTCCTGTGTCTTTAAGCCCTGCCGCCTGAGCCCAGTGTGCTCTGATTGGTCAGCTTGCCCATTCTGTTCTGACTGGTCAACCACCAGAGCATTCAGCCCCAACATGATATTTTCTCATCTTGTAACACAGGAAAAGGGCTGGAATTCCAATGAGGCATTTCATGTGACTGAGTAAAGTGGTATCTGTTTGAGAGAGTTACTATCTCTGGCATGAATTTTGAGCTTTGTAACTTTGCGTTTACATGCACAGAAAGCTACATAACACGCTAAAGAAAAGGGAAAAAACAGAAGAGCATAATAGGTCCCCTTTACAAGTAGAATATAATGTATAGTTTACATACTTATACTTCCCTAAAATTAACTATAGTATTTAGTACACTAAGAAATGTGAAGAGGCTTTAAATCACATGGACCGCCACCATACTGGATGAGGCCAAAAGAGAGCATGTCCCTTTGAAAGAATTACAGAGTCAGAATTTTTCACAGTGGTAGTAATAGGATCCAGACCTTTGAACACTTTAATGCCTTTGCTCTCTCTTACAGAGAATTATTACATGAAATGATTAATTGAATAAGAGCCAAACACTATTAGAGCATGTTTACCACACACTGTATGCTATAAATTGTAGTGCTCTCAGATGTGCAGTACTGGGCATTAAAGTACTGTGTAGAAATAAATATTATTCATAAATATTGATACAGTGATGGTGATGTATTGATATTTTGAACACAGTTGTAATAGCAAATAATGTAATAGCAAATATTATTAATAAATTAATTAATAATGGTTTTCCCCGCTAATATGGTTTGATTTGGTTTAAACTGTCCACAGAACAATATCTTTAAATTTAACAGGTTCTGTTAGCCTCTTGATAAGGCACATGGCAAAACTTTTTTTTCTAAAATGTAATTCACATTGCTCCTCACTGTTACTGATTGGCAGTTAGAAGTAATTCTTTCATTAATAAGTTTCATGAAAAATTCACTTATCATTTAAATTAAGTTCCATTTTTTTGTCTCATCACCTGCTTTAGTCCACTGCTGCTCCAACAACACCCTGAGCAGAAGTCAATAAAACACACACTCTAAGCTTTTCACTCCTGAGGAGTCCACCACTACTCTCCACAACTGAGGAGATTATTAGTTTGTTCATCCCTCAAAAGAGCTCAGTGCTGAGATAACTGGCTCATCATATTGATTTATCAGTCTAGTCAGGCTTTAGCAGGAACTTCAGTGTTTGTGAAGAAGCCGTTAAATGAGGCCCTCTTTAGAGTTCTCTTTAGCAATGTTTGCTGCGTGCCATGCACTGATTTTAAAATAGTTAATAAATAAACATTAACAGTGTTTCTTTTGAAGATTGTATTTTTTTATTAATTGGACAAGTGTTCAACATATTTTCCCTAAAAATGTAAAGTGTAACTGTATTATAAAGACTGTCTTTACAAAAAAATGTAACTTCGAAACCACCAACATTATACAAATCATTGTCATGGGTATGCATTGCAATTTTCTTGAGACAACAATCCCTACAAATTTTCAAAATATTTTTCTCTCTTTAAATAGAAAAAAAAAAAAAAACAGAAACCCACAGCTTTTTATGGTTTACATTCCATTAAAGAAGTTTACATTTTAATTTTAATAAATTGTTGACATTGTTATAGCGATAAAGTTTCTTTACTCTTGTTTCAGGAGTGAGGCTGGTTGGTGGTTCTCGCTGCTCTGGAAGAGTGGAGGTTCTTCATGGAGAGACCTGGTCCACAGTGTGTGATGCTGACTTTGACCAGCAGGATGCAGAGGTTGTGTGTCGAGAGCTGGGCTGTGGGCTTCCTGTGGAGGTACTGGGAGCAGCTGCTTTTGGCAGAGGGGAGGGTCAGATGTGGTCAGAGGAGCTTCAGTGTAGAGGCAACGAATCTCAGATTCACTTCTGTCCAACATCATCTTCACTCAAACACAACTGCTCCCATGACAGTGATGTGGGACTGGTGTGTGCTGGTAAGAGCTGCATATTTTCCTGTTATTCTTGTATTCTTTGATTAATAAGCTGTATTTAAATGTTGACACTAATCTTCTGATAATCTCTTTCTCTGTTTCTCTCTGTTGTACAGTCAGTGTGAGGTTGGTGGATGGTGGCAGTCGCTGTGCTGGGAGAGTAGAGGTTCTTCATAGAGGACAGTGGGGAACAGTGTGTAGTTTTTCCTGGGATATGAGTGATGCTGCAGTGGTGTGTAGAGAGCTGGGCTGTGGAGAGGCTGTAGATGCTCCAGTACTTGCTCATTTTGGAAGCGGCCATGGACCAATCTGGATGAATTATGCAGACTGTAGTGGATCAGAGTCCACACTGAAGAACTGTAAATCACAGGGATGGGGGAAACATAACTGTTATCATTTTATAGATGCTGGAGTCATCTGCTCAGGTAAGCAGCAGTACATCGTCATATGTCATATGTATGATAGTCTGCCCAAATATTTTCATTATCATGACATCACTTGCGATTCATTGAAAGTTTTATGCATAACAGATTTAACTCTTTTATATCACTGCTTTACAAACTGGTATACATGAGGATTCATACAGAAATGTGAAGCCAGTATGAAATGTTAGTCATGAAGTAAGCAAGAAGGCCAATTATAAACAAATGAGCTGATAATATAAGATCTTGACGAGTTTTCAGGCCAAACATCACTAGAACTTGCCTTTGAACTTGAGTCACTTCAGTGAAGATCATGTGGCAAAGCTGAATATATGAAGAAAAGGTGGCACCAACAGTGTGTTTTCTTGTCTGTTGTTTTAAGCTTTCTAAAATGTGTACTGTGAAAAAACAAGAGCTCTAGATTTAGTCTAAATAGCCAGTATGCTTTGACAGTTAGACTATCAGGGTACCATGAGTTTCATTTTCATTCATTTTTCAGTTGGTTAAGTATTCTCTGTTGACTAAAGTGAAAGAGCAAAATTGCTTCCATCTGTCTTCAACGTAACACTGAAACACAGTCAACCAAATGTGAATGCAAAAAGTGAATCACAGAGCTAGTGTTTAGTGCCCATGAAAGTACAATTTTTTTTTTTTTTTAAGTTTTAATTTAACATAGGAATATTTTCCAGGTTTAGTAAAGCCTAGTAAAAGTTGATACACAAGCTAAAAAACCTTATACACTATTATCAGCTTAACCCTTTAAATGGCCAGGGCCAACCAGTGGGCCCAAAGTTTAATTACACACATCTATAATCTAAGAATAGCACAACCAGTTTGAAATGAAATCTCTGTATTAACTGAATTATAAGCCTTAGTATGTAATAAGCCTGGGAATTTAAAGTGTTAAAGCAAGTATCAAAAATGTTTAAATCTATTACCTCGTCATGCTGCGCACACTCTTAATATAATTCTATAATTACACAGGTCACAGAAAGTCCAGAATTACTGATGGTTTCCATCTATGTTCTGGGAGAGTGGAGGTGCTTAATGTGAAGACCTGGTCCACAGTGTGTGATGCTGACTTTGACCAGCAGGATGCAGAGGTTGTGTGTCGAGAGCTGGGCTGTGGGCTTCCTGTGGAGGTGCTGGGAGCAGCTGCTTTTGGCAGAGGGGAGGGTCAGGTGTGGTCAGAGAAGCTTCAATGTAGAGGCAGCGAATCTGAGATTTCCTTCTGTCCAACATCATCTTCACTCAAACACAACTGCACTCATGGCAGTGATGTGGGACTGGTGTGTTCTGGTAAAGTATTATTATTTAAACTTCTCTTTGAAAGGACTGAAAACTTTCAGTAAAACTTGCCATTATTTGTCCCATTATATGAGCAGTGATTTTCTCCTATTCATGTTAATTCCTGTAATGTGACGTTGATTCAGGTCACACAGGGGTTCGGCTGGTGAACAGCTCTGACTCCTGTTCTGGTCGAGTGGAGCTCCAGTACCTCAGTGAGTGGGGCACAGTGTGTGATGCAAGCTGGGATATAAGAGCTGCCAGTGTCCTCTGTGGTCAGCTGAATTGTGGGAGTGCTGTTGCTGTGTTGGGGTCAGACTGGTTTGGGGAGGGAAGTGGCCAGATCTGGGCTGATGTGTTTGATTGTCAGGGGAACGAAACCCACCTGTCAAAATGTCCCATTTCATCATGGAGTCGAACTGCATGCTCTCATAAACAGGATGCTGGAGTCATCTGCAGTGGTGAGCAGCTATTAAACTATTTTATAGGAACTATACTAAATTCTACCATTCAAAAAAGTGAAATTGTTTGACTAAGTCTGTTTCATCCTTTGTCAAAAAATATATATGTTTTTTATTGCATAATTTCTCCTTAGGTTCCTCTCTGGCATTTCATGAGGGGAGAGTGCGGTTGTCTGGAGGGATGGAGTGTGAGGGGGAGGTGGAGGTGTACTTCAGGCAGGACTGGAGGAGAGTTCTGCTGGACTCCTGGAGTGAGTCTGAGGCCTCTGTGGTCTGCAGACAGCTGGGCTGTGGCTCTGTGTTCAGCTTCTCCAGCTCCTCTCCACCCAGTCCTGAACACAGACACATGTGTATGACGGGTTTCAATTGTTCTGGGAGTGAAGCTCATCTGGGAAACTGCAGCAGCGCACAAGCAGTCAACTGCAGCTCCAGAGAACGGCTCTCAATCACCTGCTCTGGTAAACATTACAGCAGTTAAATAATACAAATTTCTAAGAAACTTCCAAAAAACACTCTTCCCAAAATATATTGTAATCTTAGTTGTTTCACAATTAGGCCATTGATTTTCTTCATTATGTAGAGGAGCATTGAGCAATACATTGTTCTCAAACTAAAGCAGCTGTAATTTTAGGGTGAACTGCTGTGTGTATGTGTGTGTGTGTGTGGTGTGTATGTGTGTGTGTGTAGGTAAGTTTAATTCAGCTCACAGCTCCATCAGGCTGGTTGGTTCTGGGGGAGACTGTGCAGGAAGGCTGGAGGTTTTCCACAGCGGCTCATGGGGGACAGTGTGTGATGATTTGTGGGATATTAAGGATGCACAGGTGGTCTGCAGACAGCTGCAGTGTGGAGTGGCTCTCAGTGCTCCGGTACCAGCCCAGTTTGGACCAGGAACTGGACGCATATGGCTGAATGAGGTGGAGTGTGAGGGGAACGAGACGTCCCTGTTGAACTGCAGATTTCAGCAGTGTGGAGAGGATGAATGTGGACACATGGAGGATGTAGGAGTTTTGTGCTCAGGTAAAATGTGCGCAATACAGGGTTATCTTGCCAGCTGTAGCTGACAGATAACCCTGAAGCTGATGATCCTTCAAAGTTACACAACCTTTGAAAATGTTATTAAGATAAATACAGCACATTTTAAACTACTGATATGCAAACTCGGTGACAGTTTGCTCAAATGACATGTATAGTTAAACATGGTAAACTTTAAATGTAGCATATTTTAATACCATGTAATATTAGAATTGACGCTACATAGTACTGTATTCATTTAATATAAAGTCATTCTTCTCCCACCAGAGTTTACAGAGATCAGACTCACTGAGGGCTGTGAGGGGAATCTGGAAGTGTTCTACAATGGAACCTGGGGTAATGTGTGTTCAAACGAAATGTCTGAAGAAACAGCAAGTGTGATTTGTCGAGAGCTGAACTGCGGAAAATCCGGCCGTGTGTCCTGGGGCAGAACAAGAGTGGAATCAGCTCCTAATTGGCTGGATCATGTGAAATGTAGGAAACATGACTCCACTCTGTGGCATTGTCTATCTTCACCCTGGGGACAGAACAACTGTGATAAAAACAATGAAGTGGCTCAATTAACCTGCTCAGGTAGGCAGTTCTTCTCTATGAATTATAGTGTTTTTTTTGTTTTTTTATACACTTTATACTTTTATACACTTTTATACACTTTGTTTTTTCTGATGATTTTGCCCTGGTCAGAGTCCAGATTTAAAACCTATAAAGAATATTTGGTCTCCCTTTAAACACAAACCAACTTGGCAATGTATTGCAACTGTTTGAAGCCATCGATGCTGAGTGGAACAATACTGACTCTTCTTACTGTAAAAGGCTGTCTGCAGGTTTACCCACAAGATTTCAACGTTTAAAAAAATCAAAGAGAAAGTTATGCTATACTAATTAATTCTTGCTAATTTACTGACCAATAATTGGTTGTTAAGACTATTAAAAGCTTAAAGTTTTGCCATTTAGTGCATGGTCCATTTTTTTCTTTGTGTTGGAGTGTGTATTGGAATGAGCAAAACTATTTCACATGGACAGCTCATGATATAAGTAGTCTGCTTTTAGACATAGTGATCTCAGAGTTTGGTTTATTTTTGTTTTTTTCATGTCATGGCAGACCAAAGCCAGCAACACGCTCATCAGACATGCTCTTCATCTCTCTACCAGAAACAGTGCTCAAGTAAGACAATTTATTTCATTAATTTACAGAACAAAGTATTTCTAAAGGACATGCAAAGTAGTTTGATGTTTTGATATGTATTAATGTTCTTTGTGTTCTCTAATTTAATTAAAAAAAGTATTCTTTATATTAAGCTACACTGTTTATGATCAGTTTGTTCTGTTGTGAATGATATAACTGAGATCAACCTTATGGTACCATTATTTTGTAAAATCAGATTTTCAATATATTACATGACATCGTTGAGAATTCAGAGACTTTCTTCAAGTGTGATGTGTGTGATGTAGATCGCCTGCCTCTCAGGCTGAGGGGAGTAAATGGAAGCTGCTCTGGGAGGCTGGAGGTGTACCATAATGCTGAGTGGGGGTCTGTCTGTCATAACCAATGGGACACCATGGATGCTCAGGTGGTCTGCAGGCAGCTGGGCTGTGGGCCGGCGCTGAGTGCTGATGGGAGTGCTGTCTTTGGTGCTGGTGAAGGGCCTATCTGGCTGAACAGAGTGAAGTGTAGAGGGAATGAGATTCACCTGTGGGACTGTCCTCATTCCCTGAAGAACCACACTGACTGCTCCCACAGGCAGCACGCCAGAGTCACTTGCACAGGTCAGAGAAGTCTTCTAGGTTTTGGCGATTCTGACTCCAATCAGATCACGTTTGTCCTCATGTTAATGATCTCTGCGGCTGCAATGAAAAGTGGATTAATAGACTTTTTTCATGTTATCTAGTACTAGTTTGGCATATACAGTGCTTAAATTGTATAATCAGAGCTGCCAGCTAACACCAACTTCACTTTAGCCAGTGTTATTTTAAATTTTGTGCTTTGTTTGTTGTTTATTTTTAATGTTTTGTTCTGTATGTCCAGACATATCAGAACCTTCTACTATTGCACCCAAAAGTACCACCACCACCTCCACCACCACAGGTACTTTCTATGTCTTAAGTATGGTAAATTATTCTAAATAGATTGTTCAGTGATCTATACAGTTTCTATTATGTATTTTTATTTGCAGTTGGTCAGCCAGATAAGGGGACAACCACTCCATCACCAGCTGTTCTGTTCATCTATCCAGTGTCTCTCCTGGTTCTGGGAGCGGTGCTCTTCCTGGCCTTAGTGCTTCTGGTTGTGCTGTTTTACCAGAACAGAGTACTCAGGAGAGGTAGAGAGATTCAGAGATCATCTACAATCCACTTTCTGTACATTCTCTAAACATCATTAGTCCTTCAATCTGTCATCAGTCTTCTCTTCTACTGAACTGGCTCCATGTTTCTCTCCGTCTCCCTCACAGTGCTCTCTAAGAGGAGGCGTAAGACTCTGACTGAGGCAGTCTATGAGGAGATCGACCGCAGAAACATCACTAAAAGAAATGACTCGATTCAAAGAGGTGAGTATTCTACATGAGGATTATTGCATGAAATTAAAGTGTACTAACTTTAGACATAACAGAAGACACCCAGCTACACCTGCTCACTCTCAGTGATTAAAGCTATATTTAATTATCTTAATTGTATTTTGATTCAACAGTTTAGCATAAATATCCAATTCAGAATCTTCAAAAATTTCTTCAGTATAGATTTCTCTGTTTATTATATAAGAGTAAATCAGTTAAGTAAGAGATTGGTGTATATTAGATGAAATGTGCAGTTACAGTAGATCTACATGTAGTGTAGTGTGTTAATTCTGCTGATAAGCATCTATAAGGCAGCTGAAGTTAAACTAAGTAATTCCTGTAAAACTTCCATTTTTGGACATACAAAGAAACCACACAGCTGCAGGTGTGTATGTGAGAGAGAGAGGGAGGGTGAGAGTGAGGCAGAGAAGGGGGAGAGGAAGAGAGGATGAAAGAAAGAGCGGAAGAGAGAGAGGGAGGGAGAGAGAGAGACAGAGAGGGGGGAAGTAGAGAGAGAGGAAGAGGCAAAGGGAGAGCATTGAGAGGGAGTAGCATTGAGTGTCTGTGTGTGCATGTGTGTGTGTGCGTGAATGTGCCTGTGCATGTGTGTGTGTGTGTGCGTGTGTGTGTGTGTGTGTGTGTGCACATGTGTGTTTTGTTGGGAGATGCAGAGACTGAGTTACTGAGTGAGGAATCCAGTCAATTCATGACTGAGTGAATATATGTCTGAATGAGTGACCAATAGAGACAGTGATGAATTAAGTAAGTGGCAGAGTGACTGAGAGAGAGATTGTGTAACTTAGTGAATGAGTGAGTCCACAAGTTAGTGATCATGTTGGAGTGACAGAATTTGTGACAATGACTGAGTGAGTATTGAGTGTGGTATCTGAGAGCGCCCTCTACTGCCTGCACTTATATTATTTCCTGTAATCAACCCAGTTCACAATGATTCACAGCACTCAGAGGATTGTGGGTGGTTCTGCATTCTGAATGTGTTTGATGGCTGTTCTGCTGTCCTCTAACAGGACGTATCCTCTCTGAAGAACAGCATTCAGGATATGAGGATGTGGATGAGGAGCTTCTCTCAGGTAAAAGGACCAGAACATCTGTGTGTGTTTGGCTCCATTCCACTGAGAAATACTATAATCACCGTTTAGAAATTGTATAATTCATTATAAAGTTGTTTTAGGCACAGTTATGCTAAAAATGTTTACAGTAATTTCAGTTTTTGTAGTGCTGGCATAATAAAATAATACACTTTAAAATCAGCATATTATTGGTGCAAAAATAGCTTGAAGGAGGACTCACCATTTTATTATTAAATTAATAATATTAATTTCTTCACATATCAGATGTTGAAAGTGAGGCATTTTACCATTTCATGAAAAATATGAACTCATTTAGAACTTGATGACAGCAACGCATCTCAGAAAAGTTGGGACAGGGCCCTGTCTACCATTGTGTAGCATCCACATCCATCTTCTTTTTCTGTAAACGTCTGAGAAGTGAGGAAACCAATTGCTGGAGTTTTGGGAGAGGAATGTTGTCCCATTCTTGTCTGATGTGGGATTCTAGCTGCTTAACAGTCCTGGGTCTTCTTTGCCCAAGTTTTCATTTAATGATGTGCCAAATGTTTTCTATTGGTGAAAGGTCTAGACTGCAGGCAGGCCAATTCAGCACCCCAACTCTTCTTCTGCAAAGCCATGCTGTTGTGATGGATGCAGTATGTGGTTTAGCATTGTCTTGCTGAAATATGCAAGGGCTTCCCTGAAAGAGACGTTGTCTGGATGGGAGCATATGTTGTTCTAAAACCTCTATATACTATTCAGCTTTGATAGTGCCTTTCCAGATGTGTAAGCTGCCCATGCCATAGGTACTAATGCAGCCTCATACCATCAGAGATGCAAGATTTTTAAACTGTGCACTGATAGCAAGCTGGATGGTCCCTTTCCTCTTGAGTCCACAGGATTCATCTGACCACAGAACAGTTTTCCATTTTGCCTCCGTCCATTTCAAATGAGCTTTGGCCCAGAGAAGACGGCGGTGTTTCTGGATTGTGTTGACATATGGCTTCTTCTTTGCATGATACAGATTTAACTTGCATTTGTGGATTGCACAGCGAACTGTGTTCACAGACAGTGATTTCTGGAAGTGTTCCTGAGCCCATGCAGTGATTTCCAGTACAGAATCATACCTGTTTTCAGTGCAGTGCTGCCTGAGGGCTCAAAGATCACAAGCATCCAGTAATGACCGCTGACCTTGTCCCTTGTGTACAGGGATTTCTCCAGATTCTCTGAATTTGTTTATTATAATGTGTACTGAAGATGGTGGGATATCCAAAGTCTTCGCAATTTTACGTTGAGAAACATTTTTCTGAAATTATTCCACAATTTTTAGTTTTTGCAGATTGGTGAACTTCTGCCTATCTTTGCTTCTGAGAGACTCTAGCTCTCTAAAATGCTCTTTTTATATTCAGTCATGTGAGTTAGATATTGCTCCTCTAGCTGTTTTTTATTAGTACGACTTACTTTCCCAGCATTTTGTTGCCCCGTCCCAACTTTTTTGAGATGTGTTGCTGCTATCAAGTTCTAAATGAGTTAATATTTTTCATGAAATGGTAAAATGTCTCACTTGCAACATCTGATATGTGTTCTATGTTCTATTGTGAATAAAATATGGGGCTATGAGATTCACAAATCATTGCATTCTGTTTTTATTTACATTTATTTACATTTTACACAGCGTCCCAACTTGAAATGAAAACGTGTACTATGCCAAAATCTAAAAAAAAGTAGAAGTCAGAGAGATAAAGTTACTGGCAGAATGCTGAATATCACATCTGTATTTATTAGCTTCTACATCAGTAGTACATCAGTGGATTTCTTTGTTGCTGTGGGTGTGTCCAGATGTATGATGTATTTACATAATGAATGCTGGGTGTTGTAGTGATGAATGAAAATACAAAAAAGATGCAAAGTTGTGAAATCTGTCAAACTAATGAGGCTGAGAAATGCAGTGCTGCTGTACAGAATATTACAAAATATGACAAATAACATTAACACTAAAATTATATCATAGTTTTAGGCCGGAATGCCAATTAAAATATTTTAATTAAAATGATATGAATAAAGTGTTAACCTAATTAGATAACACACAAAGTTTTCTTTCAGAGGAATAATTTGCAAAAGTAATACATCACAATATATCACAATAATTATCATATTACCAATCTTAAAACATATCAGTACAATCATATTGTGGCTGAAATAACCTGATAATGTCGTATTGTGGGGTCTGTACTGATTCCCATCCCAACTTTCTGGTATTTCCTCCTTTTTGCTGTTACAATTTTAATTTTTTTAAATGCGTGAGATTAATTTGTTTCTCTGATTAAAGATTTGATTCATCTGTAGATTAGTCTTTGGCAGAAAATGGTTCCTGCAACTTTATGGAGAAACACTGTAGCTCTACTGAGATATACTGTGATTAACTGAGATTTAATGAGATTTAATGACATTTAGGGTTCTGAAGTCTGCACTGATATTATTTTCTGTAACCAACCCAGTTCACAATTATCCACAGCACTCAGAGGATTGTGGGTGGTTCTGCATTCTGAACATGTTTGATGTCTGTTCTGCTCTCCTCTAACAGGAAGTATTCTCTCTGAAGAACAGCATTCAGGATATGAGGATGTGGATGTACTAAATTAAAATCTTACTTTAAACCACAGTAACAAGATTCAAAAACAATTAAAGTCTGCTGCTGCTGCTGCTGGGCAGTTTGCACTGGTGTCACACATAACTACTGTCAATCACTGTGCAGCCTGAAACACCTGCACAGTCCTGATCAGTTTGTAAAAGATCATCACATATCTTAGGATCAGTGAGATACTTGCTACCAAGTTCCCAGCCTCTCTGAAAGAGTATGTTTTTGAAATGTAATTGGAAGTAATAAAATTTAACCTTTTTCCAGAAAAGTCTCTGACTGGAGTAAAAGCAGATTATTATGATGATGTCACCACCAGTGGCCTGAGAAGTGAGTTCCTTTATTAATTAATCATCTGATTTTATTTTCACATTAAACCACAATGTAAAAATATGATTGCACTGTTTGTAAAGTCAGTCTGCTTTTATTTGATTTAGGTGAATCAGCAAAAGAGGACACAGCAGAGGACTATGATGATGTCATCACTGCTGGACAGATCTCTGAGAGTGTAGCAGGTATGTTTCTGTTTTGAGCTTAGTAGAAATTGTGTAACGATTTTAATTCTACAAGAATAAAATAATCTAGCAGATGTAGCCTAGATCTAGTCTACAACACACTGTGACAGTCAGAACAGATTTTATAGAAAAAGTATGTTTTATTTATTAAAGTACTTTTTGTACATTTGCATTTGAAATGAAAACAAATCATCAATCATTTAATAGTTGATAGTGTTAAGTGCTAATTTTAGCAACATGGGTTGTATTGGAGCTATATTATTTTATAGTTCATTGATTATGCTCGATAACCTGTGTACTAAATAAACTGTGTAAAATATAATTTTATATCCTTTAAATGTCTCTGTTTTTTGGTGCAGAGGACGCAGCAGAGAATTATGATGATGTCATCACTGCTGATCAGAGCTCAGCTGTTCTAACAGGTTTGACTTGTAATGTAACAATACTGTAATCTCAAACATGAACACAGTCACTGATGATACTGATGCTGATTTAATGACATTTATCTCTACATTTTGACAGAAGACATGACAGATAACTATGATGATGCTGTTACCACTGGACCAAACTCCAACATTATGACAGGTACGTTTTTTTCTTAATTTAGCAAATTATATTTTATAGCAAAAAATAAAGAATGACACATAATTTTAAACCAAAGCTTCAACACAGTACAAACCAGATTTGTCTACTTATTGTTATAATTTTTCTCAGGTTTGTGTAGTGGACACACCAGAGAACTATGATGATGTTATCACTGCTGGACAGGATGTAGGAGGGGTAAAAGGTGAGTGGCTGAAGTTGTGTATGCCGCTACATAATAGATGAATGAAGAGGGTGGAGTAAGTGAATTAAATTAAACTGAAAACATGTTTACATTATCTATGGCACATGAGGGAAACAGCAGTGTCCTCATTATTGTGATGTGGAGTAGAAGCTGCTGTTTTATTTACTTGTCAGTGACTAAGAAGTGTGCACTTCCTGTAAGTCTGAAAATGACTAGTGCACCAGTGCCATCCAGTCAGGACTAGAAATAATCTGTTCTTACATGTTTAAGGGGGCTTCACAATGTGTGTGTCTCGCTGCTGTAGTTTTCAAAGGCTATGTTTGTCTGCTCTTCTCCCTCTTGCTAAGCAACAAATAGCAAATAGTGATAGCTATCTGTCCAGCTAACTATCCAAACTATTTGCTTGTTTATTATAGATAACATACTTAAACAATAAAAACTTACTCTAAATCCCCAGAGTTGCAATCTAACCAGCTATCATTTAAATATGTACAAGCAAAAATCTGCTTTTAGCAAAAATCTTAACTAAAAAATGCAGTGTCACGATTTAGATCTGTGAAGGACTTCAGTCACTAATCCCTCCTCAAGTACAACTGTCACTGAAGGTCTCCCTTACCTTTAATTTGATAGGTCAGCAAAAAAAAAATCTCATGATGTAGGGTACTTGACCACTTCACATTTTTCAGCTCAGGGTGCCTGCAGCTCTCCACACTGAACACGAACAGTGTGAACCACAGTAAATGTGTTCTAAGAATGAAAGCACAATGTTTTAAGAGCTTCATAGACCCACTGAGAGGAATCACAATGACTTACTCAGTATTCACTGACAGCACTGAACAATCTAATCTGATCATGACCTGCTTTGCTAAACAGGGAGCTACTTTTTGAACATCGTAAGAATACATTTACATTTACAAAGATATATAATTTTATTTGAAAATTTTAAACAGATTTATTTTACAGATTATGATGATGTGGAGGAGGAGCCTCAGACAGAGATGAATCATGTGACGGAGAGACCACAGCCAGTGTCTCTCCTCAGGAAATTACATTCAAACCTCTTCAAACACAAGAAATGACTTTATTTTTATTTTTATTTATGGAGAATAAAGAGTGTTCATTATAGCTTTATACATTTCAAACAGGATAAAGTTTATATAAACAAATATTATCACATTTTCAACACTTTCTTTGAGTGCTACCAGACTTAGTCATCCAGAAACATTTACTGAAATCTCATTTCCATCAAATGTACATGATCTTACTCTGTTATTTTTATCTCCATAAAACATTTTTACATTGTGTTTTTTTAAACATTTTTCATTTTTTTTAAGATCTTAAATTACAGGGCTGTTCATTTTCACTATATATATTTTTGAGGGTGATGTACCACAAAATTAACAAACAAAAAGAAAACTTTCAGCGTTCATCTGTAAGAAACAGTGAGGAAGGGGCTGCTGTCACTGTCATAAATTTTAAATTATAACCAACACAGGTATAATACTGATGGCATATTGTATAAAAGTATCTGAGTGATAATTTTGTGCTCCTCTCTTCTCTCTGTGTGCTGATCATTATACACAGTGAATTAAGGTTGACACAGAATTCTCAACCTGTTTATTTTAAACTTTTGTTTTTGACGTTTTATTCTGTTATTTTCCTTTTTCTTGTTTTCTATTTTAATCATTATACATGTTTTTGAATAAATCATTTTGCATACATAAATGTGGCACTGATGACTCCTTTTTATTACAAAATCATTTTTACTTCACCTTATGGAGGGGTTGATGGAGCTGGTTAGGCTCTTATGTGCTATGCAGAGATCATAGTAGCTGGGCTAGTGGACACACTAACATAGCCCTCAAAGCACGTTGGTCACACTGAAATGGACCACCCCCATGAGCCTTTCAACAAAGTCCTCTCCCAGAGGCTCCCTGAGAATAGTAAACCTGCCAAACCATCATCTGCATCAGCTCACTGTAGTTCTGCTGCTCTTCCTGGAAAAATTTATCTCACTGCTCATTACTTCTACATGACTCTCTAAAACACATATGAATCTGTACCAACTGGAACAGATGAGGGAAACTCAATGGTCCTTTTAATAATTTATTTAGAAAAGAATAGCCAATCACAGTAAATACCACTGAATGACATGCCCTCTATTTGACCAAGATAAAACGAATTATGCTGATATTAGCATGATTAGATACAGGTTTGCAGAGCCTCCCACACTCGCACTGCGCTGCTCACATTTACAGTTAAAGTCATGCAGTCAGCTGATGCAGAGAGCATATCTATGCGAAAATTACATACATGGATAATCTAGATAGAATAAATGTATAATTTAAATGCACTGTGCAAATCTCATATTGTTCTGTCAGAGAAATGAGTAACACAAGTAAAATTCTCAGTAAGTCAGTAACAGTAATGTTATTAAAGGAATTTAAACTGTAATGTATTACTGTACTTTATTACAGGAAGAAATAACTTCCATTATTGTTAAGCCCTGTTTCCAAAAAGGTTGGCACACTGTGCAGAATGTAAATAAATACAGAATGCAATGTTGTGCAAACTATATAAACCCTATATCTATTTGAAAATAGTACAGACAACATATCTAATGTTGAAACTGAGAATTCTTTTTGAAATATTTGCCCATTTTGAATTTGATGCCAGCAACACATTAACACACTTAAAAATGTGTGTAATGCTAAAAAAACCTGGTGGAATATCTTGCTAATAAATAGGTTGTTTGGCAACAGGTCAGTAACATGACTGGATATAAAAAAAGCATCTCAGAGAGGCTGAGTCTTTCAGAAGTAAAGATGAGGAGGGATTCACCACTCTGTGAAAGACTGCACAGATAAATAGTGCAACAATTGAAGAGTGATGTTTCTCAATGTACAATTCCAAAGAACTCATCATCTACAGTATCATTAAAAGATTCAGAGAATCTGGAGAAATCTCTGTATGCAAGGGACAATGCTGAACACCAGTACTTGCTGGCTGTGATCTCCGGGCCCTCAGGCAGCACTGAATTAAAAACAGACATGATTCTCTAGTGGAAATCACTGCATGGGCTCAGAAAGACTTCTGAAAACCACTGTCTGTGAACGCAATACAAATGCCTATATTTCTGAGGTTAATAACTGTCCTGGAGACAACAACAGAACTTGTTTTACCCAGCAATTTCACACTTCCTTTTCTTGTGAAAAGGGCTTAGTAACATTGGGAGGGGGTAACCTACACTTGATAAATTAAAGTGATGGGATGGGCCTGTGACCTTTAATAATGCCCCCTTGTGGACACATGTATCATACAACACGTGTTTGCAGCACTACCAATGTCATAGAAAAGGATTCTGGATCTGCAGCACTGAACATTCTGAGGATAAAGATTTATCCAGTTTAAAAATCTGAACTGGTTAAAGTAACTCTAAAGTAAAAGGTAAAAGTGGCCAGAATCAGATTTTTTCACCAAACCAGGCTGTTATATATTTTAAATGTGACCTATATGCAACAGTAGTCTGAACAGATCACGCTCCTAATCTGACCCACATGCGTAAAAGAACAATGCTTCATGTGGCACGCTCATCCAGAGGTAACCATTCAAAATGGAATCAGCAGTCCCAGCCCCTCCCAGAGCTTTTCATCTCCGCCAGCATCACAGAAGTTCGAGCTTGCTGTAAAAAGGGCAAGTTATTCAGCCACTGCCACTTCCTTGGATCTTGTGCTTGTTTTCTTTAAAGTTTAAACTTTACTTTCAGACTTTTAACTGTTCTTTGACGCTGCAGCCTCGGTCTCCTTTGGCAGTGTTAGCCATTTCTTATTAAATCTCCTCTAACACAGAGCAGTTTGGATAAGTGTCTTCTTAATTTGTTTGTACAGAAACATCACCCCAAATGTTTATGAGGTCTCAGCAGCATGAAATTATGCTGAATGTCGAGTTGGATTGATGTAAAAGTCACATGAGTTCTGATCTCTGATCTCTCAGATCTGATCTCTCACCGTTTATAGGCTTTTACCTTCTGTTCGGCACTGCTGCCATGGTAACACTGAATGATGTGGAATCAACACAGAGGAAAAAGCAAATGAATTCCGATCTGAGCGTCTCATTAAGGTGGCATGCAACAAATTGGATACGTCTCCATTCTAAGACGATGTATGAAAGTGGCTTGGGTTGGATTTGAAAAGATCAGATTTGCATATCCACACAGCCCTGAAAATGTCAGATCTGAGTCACATTAGGGCAAAATATAAGATTTGTGCCACTTCAACCTGGTAATGTGAACGCAGCCTTATTGCTGCATATCAGATATCACTGGATTTCAGTACCACATATGAAAGTGCCTCAAATTGAAAATGTCAGATTCAATGGCTGTGTTCACATTACCAGAAGTGGCACAAATGTGTTTTTTTGCCCAGATTACACCTATGTGTTACACATGAAGTAAAAGATCAGATTTGGGCCACTTTTACCTACTGTGTGAACAAAGCCTAATAAAAACACTGTCATATTTGTAATGTCTTGCAGTGCCATTATCCCAACATGAGCTGAATTTTTCTTTCTAGGCTGGTTGAACATGACGCTAGAAGAGAAACATCTGTGAGTCTATCACAGCACAATGTATCTAAACAGCTTAGTGTTCTGTGTGGGGGAAGTTAAGGCATCAACTATTTGATCAGGTGATGTTTATCTGGCAGATAAGCCCTTCAAGAAAACTTACATTTCATAACCTCTCACCCACAGACAGCTGTTGGATAATAGATAATGGATAATAGCTGTTAGATAGATAGATAGATAGATAGATAGATAGATAGATGGATGGATGGATGGATGGATGGATGGATGGATGGATGGATGGACGGACAGATAGACAGACAGACAGACAGACAGACAGATATGTTATTGATCCCGAAGGAAATGTAGTAGCCAGTAGCAGTCACACAACACAGGAGTTATAATAATAAGGGTGATACAATATAAAAAGAAGAATACAT